ACGCCTGCAGGGCTCGTCTCTTTCGGGTGTGACTGAATCCCGTATTTAATCTTATTTAATCTCATTAAATATGTCATGGGTCGCCTAGCTCAAGCTATCAACATCCTTGAGTTAGAACCTGGATAATGTGAAAATTTCAATTAATATTCGAATGTCATTGTTTTTGGCCACCAATCTTTTCTTTACGTGTGATGCACGATCCTCGCAATAGATAGCGCTGTTTATGCAATAGCGAAAATCAGAACTGAAAAAAAATCAGGCCTGTACGGGATTCGAACCACTGACCTCTGCGATACTAGTGCAGCGCTCTACCAATTGAGCTAACAATGCGCATTCGTATTACAAACGCGTGATTCAGTAGCAGTAGACATGGCACCGAGGAATTCTTAGTACTAAATAGATTCTTAGTACCAAAGTTTGTGGATCAACGCCGACACAATATTTTAAGCGAGCGCCTAGTGCCTACATTCGGCTGCAAGATTGCCGCCACTGCTCTAACAAGAAGTCTTCAAATGCAACAGAAATTTTCTGTTCTTCGTTTGGGTTGATAACTACTCTGCTTCACAGTTCTTCTAAGGAAAGCTCTGAGTTCATTTTGCAGCTGAGATATTTGCTGGACACAGTAGATCTCCGTAACATGTCTGTTGACGAGGAAAACGAAAGCCAAGCAAACAAAGAACAACCACGTGCTTCACTGCGCTTAGAAATAGCAACGACGCCAATGAACAAGACGTCGTCATCTGTGGCCATGACACCCCCAAACAGTGGAATTCCAAACTTGCAGAGAGCTGAAAACAAGAATGCTTCCCCAAATCTAAAGAAGACCATCGAAAAGGAAGATTTGGATACTCCAGAAAAGGTGCTGTTGCTGGAGCAGCGAAGCAGTCGCGTTATCAAGGACGTGCATTACGTGTGCGAAAGAAACAGGGAAAGTTTTGCGATGGTGCTTCGTAACATGTGCGGATTTGGCAACCCAGAAGCGAAGGCCATCGTCAATTAAATTGTCGAAGAGGTTGCAGTAAAAAGGGGAGTGTGAATTTTTATCAAAAGTGCTAATAAATTTGGTTTGTATAAAGTTAGGATTTTTCCAGCTTAACACGTGCGAAGTTTACTTAAATGCATAAACGGATGGCGGTCCTGTAACTGAAGTTATGAGTATTGCTAATGAGTGTCAAGTTTTCCTGGCTAGAATGTAATCATAATTCTCTTAAGCAGCACGTTTTTGGGTATAATATGTGAGCTCATGGTTATCATTACGCTAGTTTTACGTTTATAGAAACCGTGACCTTGGGAAGCTGCGATGATGGGAAGCATTTTGAATAAAATTGAACCAGCCAATAGGAAAAATATATTAAAAAGAGAAGGGAAAATCAAAACGACACCCAAGTTTCAACCGGCAGGAATCAAACAGCGAAGAATGCAGCTAAGGGAAAGATAAAAAGGCTTTTTTTATTAGTCAAGCCGGTTCTTTACTCAAATGCATCTTCAAATTACCCCACGTCTTTGTTTTCCAGAGCTATTTGAGCCAGTGGTAAGCTCTTTTTCAGCAGGTGAAAGTAAATGTGTAGAGTAACAGTAATTTCCATAGTTAGAGATCACATCCATGAGTGCAGTATAACCTAANGCCTAATCGATAAACGGACAAAATTGCTCCGACTTTGAGACGACATTACAGCATTTTGGCAGCGACTGCTGAGAAACCGAATGTGCCATGGAATTACAACCAATTAAGAAAGATATTTTCTCCCTTCCAGCAGTCATTACAAAACCGTTTTGTCCTCTGAAAAGTGGATGTAGTTCACACATTAAAGGCGATAAATTGACAAAAAAATGATTTACAATTATTCCGTTGTCAATAGGCTCTTATTCACGTATTACTAGGCTGGGTAATAAACTTTTTCTCGTGGCAGAATCATGAGGAAGAAGTTGTTCCTCATTTTAATAAGGACTTACATAGTACTCCGTAACAAAATTGCTGACATTGAAATAACTAAACTTTAAATATAACTTTTGTTGGATAATTCATTACTTGACGAGGGAATTCCGCATTAAGGTTACTTTCCACCTTCAGAGGCCGAAAAAATAGTTTTTTCTTTTATTGGACTAGATTGAAGCTAGACATTTTACTTAACGTTTCTAAAAAGAAAAATTAAAAAATCTCAATAAGCGTCCGACTTATTTAGAAAACGTATTTTCAATTCAAAGTTAAAGAATCAGGAAGGTTTCATAATCTTGTAAATGGGCGAACCCCTAGTTAAATATTCGCTGCATTTCATGTTATTTCTATATTTTGTATATAGTGCGCACTTGACAAAATTCACACGTGGAAGTTCTCTGCTAAAGGCAGTCTTTCCGCATGATAAAAAACATGAATCAAAATTAAAGAGGAGTCCTTGAGTAAAGGAGGAGAAAAAAAGGCCCAAAGAAGAGAGAAATGGAAAAAATTTTGTCAGGAAAGAAAGAGTCCTGGCATTCCTCTCCACGCCAGCATCCAAATTGCGAACAAAGAGGGCGCCATCAACATTTGTTGTTCAGAGGTTTAAGAAATAAGTTTCCTTTCCCTTAGCTAGTACCGGCCTTGATACAAAAACATAGGCAATCACTTCTAATGGTATGAAATTATGAATAAACCTTCCCGAGTTAAAAAAAAACCTGACTGCTGTGCGCTACTTTTCCTGGGAAAATCTTGATTCATTGTCATTGATGCTAGGTGGTCCACTCTTCCCATTAGTTCGCGGTTTTAAGGGACGACATAATCTCTTGGTGTGGCGCTAATTGTTGCAAACCTTTAGGAGCTGAAATCTTGCATTTAATCTTAAGCATTCTTCCCAATGAAAAAATATCATGGACAACACTGTAAAGTCGTTTAATTACAACATCAGGGGGCTAAATAGCTCTTCCCTTTGTATTTCATAACAGTGCCGTTTCTGTGGTACAACAGAAGAACTAGGCTGAATTCCCCAAAGATTGAGTGCTATTCTAGTACAATATTATTTCCTTTTATATCGTTGTGAAGGTATTCTCTAGAATGCACGTGGTCTAGAGCATTACATATCTTTTGAGATAAAGAAATACAGTTTGCTTTAATAACTACGTTGTTCTCGGCCGCTTGATGGAGAGTTAACACTTTCTTGCTGAACACCATGAGTCACAAGGCATAATGGTGAGGTCTTTTGTAACAAAACCAAAAATCATTGGTAAATTTGGATGGTCCCCAAAGCAGAAGCAACCTTTGTTTCGTAAAGTAAATCTCTCCTTGCTCGTTCTTTATTCTCCATTCTCTGACGTTTCATTGTGAGTCGTTTGCTTGACAATAACCTCGATGCTTCGATAGCGGCCGAGAAAACACTGTCCAAAGCCTTCACTGTTAACTGGATTTTTAGAAAAGTGTTCAATGTTCTCTGGCCTAAGTTGTTAGGGTTCAAATTTGGATCCATTACTCGCTGTGTTTTTTTCGCAATTAAAAGGGTTTGATGACGTTTCTCGAGACAATTGCATCGGCACCAACAGCCATTTGAATCGTCTTTAAGTTAGCAGCTCTTGAGCAACCCCCCAAGTTCACTTTC